TCTTTTTAACTCGAGTTTAAATGTCCACTCCACAGATCGACAACACATCAGCTGACTGACTCTTCCTCCTCCGTTGCTTTCAGGATGAATTAAACGCATCGGCTGCTCTCTGGCGGACTCTATTAAAACAACACGCACGTGCTCATAGAGAGGAAGTGCATTTGTTGTCCCCTAAAACTGCAGATCTACAACCCTATAATTGTTTCATTTGGTCTGTTTTAATGTTGAAGTGTGAGTAGATAAGTCTAGTCTGAAACATCAAAGTGGGAAATTGCTAAACATCTTCTACAAAGTCTTAATAACTCTGTTTTTTTATAGGCCTGTTATTAATTATTTGAAGGGGGATTTAAAACAACTTGTCACTGGGTTCAAAGACAGTCTGTCCTCTACCTGGGGCAAAGTAAGCCTGCACTTTTAACATTCTCTCATGACCTGTGTTCACAGATGAGATTCAATGCCAGTTTGTTGTTTATTGTTGATTCCCACCCATCCATTCCCAAAACTACATGTATTATGTAAGGTCACAGGAACATAGAGGCCACCCAGGGGTTTAGCAACAAATGTTGGGCCCCTGTCATAGAGGGGTGGGCCACCTTTTCCCCCTCACCTGTCCCACCAGGCTTAAGTGTCTAAATGCTATTTTTTTTAATTAATATTTTAAGTACTAAACCGCTTTATTTTTTATTATGATTCACAACTTTTTACAACACCAATTCCAGAAAAGTTGGGACGTTTTGTAAGATGCAATACAATTAGGAATCTGTCATTTGTTCTGTCTCTTTAACTTTTATTTAGTTTACAAAAAGTACAAAGAAAACGTTTTCACTGGTCAACTTAAATGTATTTTGTAATTATAAACAAATTTTGATGGCTGCAACACACTCCAAAAAAGTTGGGACAATGGCAAAATCAAAGTGAAAAGGTTATATAATTTCCCAATTTAACTGTTTTGAAACAGTTAACAGTAAGCAGGTGTTAAATATAGCCACATGGGCTCAGGAGTACTTCGGAAAACTGCTGTCACTTATAGGGTTAGTTCACCCAAAAATGAAAATTAGGCTGCATTTTACTCACCCTCAAGTCATCCTAGGTATATATGACTTTCTTCTTTCAGACGAATCCAGTCGGAGTTATATTAAAAAATTGTCTTTGATCTTTCAAGCTGTTTAATGCCACTCAACGGGTGTTGCATTGCTTCAGTCCAAAAGAAGTTAAATAAAAAATGTCCATCCATAAAAAAAAGTGTCTCACTCGGCTCCGGCCTTCTGTAGCGAATCGATGCGTTTTTGTAAGAAAAATATCCATATTCAAAATGTAAAAATCACTTGAATCTAGCTTGCGCTCACTGTTGTAAACAGAAGCAGTTTCGGGGGAATGACGTATGAGGTCGGCCACTCGGAAGTGACGCACGCGGAAACGCAGCGGAGAGATCAAAACAAAACAACAGTCACTAAATAGAATGAGAAGAATGAGTTTTTATTGCCAGGTATGTTTACACATACGAGGAATTTGTTTTCATGACAGAAGCTCCACAGTGTAACAGAATGACAGTGACAGAACAAAAACACAGATAATAAAAAATAGAAAAACAGAAGGCCCCCCGGAGCCGTGTGAGACACTTTTTTTTAATGGATGGACGCTTTTTATTTAACTTCTTTTGGACTGAAGCAATGCAGCACCCGCTGAGTGTCATTAAACAGCTTGAAAGATCAAAGACAAATTTTTAATATAACTCCGACTGGATTCGTCTGAAAAAAGAAAGTAATACACACATAGGATCCCTCGGGGGTGAGTAAAACACAGCCTAATTTTCATTTTTGGGTGAACTAATCCTTTAACACAGTCTGCCGCTGCATCAATAAATGCAACTTGAATCTCTGTTACTCTAGGAGAAAACTATACATCAAATGTATGCAGTGATGCTGCAGGGTTCTCTAGGCCCGAGCTCCTCTCAGATAGTCAGAAAGACAGTCATACACACATAGGATCCCTCGGGGGTGAGTAAAACACAGCCTAATTTTCATTTTTGGGTGAACTAATCCTTTAACACAGTCTGCCGCTGCATCAATAAATGCAACTTGAATCTCTGTTACTCTAGGAGAAAACTATACATCAAATGTATGCAGTGATGCTGCAGGGTTCTCTGGGCCCGAGCTCCTCTCAGATAGTCAGAAAGACAGTAGAAATGTGTGCTGTGGTCAGATGAGTCCGCATTTAATCTTGTTTCTGAGAAAAACGGATGTCGAGTTCTCAGTCCCAAAGACCAAATAAGGGACCATCCAGACTTTCATCAGCAACAGATGCAAACGTCTGTCGTAGAATGTGGCTGCAGCAGAGCAAACAGCATGGGTGACTTGCATATGTGTGAAGGTACCATTGACATGGAGGCATATAGTGGGATTGTACAGAGACATGTAATGACTTTCATGGGAAGTCCTTTTTATTAGATCAAGACAATGCCAGGTCTCATTCTGCTTGTGCTACAACAGCGTGGTTTCGTAGACACAGAGTGGATGTGTTACACTGGCCTGCCTGCAGAATAGATGTGTCCTATTGAAAATATATAACCAGTCATGCAAAAGAGAATCCGACAGCAATGATTACAGACTGCTGAGCATCTGAAGTCTTGTATCAAGTAAGCTTGGACAAAAATTCTGCTTGCAAAATGTTAACAATTACTATCTTCACTTTCCAAACAATTAAACATTGTAATTAAAAGGAAAAGTTGATGTGACAAACATGGCTCTTTCACAACGTTTTTGGAGTGTGTTGCAGCTGTCAAAAAGTTGTTTATATTTACAAAATAAAATGAAGTTGGCCGGCGAAAACACTGGACATTTTTTCTTTGTACTTTAGTCAATTAAATAAAGGTCAAAGAGAACAAACAAATAGCATATTCTTGATTTTATGGCATTTCACAAAACGTCCCAACTTTTCTGGAATTGGGATTGTAATTGTCACTTGATTTATATTATTTGTATTTGTTATTTATTTTAATTTTAGTTACATTATGTCTGAATTTATTATGTCTGTATAGGTCTTTTATTAAGTTTTTAGTTTGATTTAATTTGTGTTATTTTAATACTTCAACAAACTAAATGGAAATGAAATAATATATATATATTGAATTTATAAATGTGTATGTACATATACAGTATATATGTGTGTGTGTGGTTGTACATACACGTATATGTAGTTGGTTTTTTGGTGTTTGGCTTAGTGTTATGTTAGAATCATTATTATACCTTTTGTTCTTTACTATTTTGAATTGTTTTTAGCTTTATTTTTTTGTTTTTCATTTAAATGTTAAGTTTTGCAATTTTGTTGTATGCATTTGTCACTTTTATTTAATCTCTTTATTTTTAAAATGTGTATATCAGATTTTCAATACACTCCATTCTGTGTGATTTATAAGCGTTTTGAAAAGTGGGGACATGGGGTAATGTCCTGAAACGTCACCTTCTCCTTGTAATACCTATGTCTTTGTCATTATACAAATTTATGTCCTCATTTGTCACAAAAACGCATACACACACACACACTCACACTCACATTCTCTCTCTCTCTCTTTCTCTCTCTCTCTCTGGTCAGCTATCCTTGTGGGGACTCTCCATAGGCGTAATGGTTTTTATACTGTACAAACTGTATTTTCTACCCCAAACCTACCCCTCGGACAAAACTTTCTGCATTTTTAGATTTTCAAAAAACTTCATTCTGTATGATTTATAAGCTTTTGTACCCGTAGGGACCACAATTTAGGTCCCCACCGTGACACGAGTCCCCATGAGTCTGTGTGTATTCAGGTTTAAGTCCCCACCAGGATATATAAACCAGTACACACACACACACAGAGACAGACACACAGACACAGACAGACAGAGATATTCCTATAATTATGGGGACTCTCCATAGGCATAATGGTTTTTATACTGTACAAACTGTATTTTCTACCCCAAACCTACCCCTCGGACAAAACTTTCTGCATTTTTAGATTTTCAAAACACTTAATTCTGTATGACTTATAAGCTGTTTTTCTCATGGGGACAAAAAAATGTCCCCACAACATTTTGCCCCCATAACGTATAGGGAATACCTGAATGGTACACACACACACTCCTATGAACTCCACTTCACCTGTCCTGCATGTTTTTGGATTGTAGGGGAAACCAGAGACCTGGAGGAAAATTACTGTAGGTTTATTATTTGTAATTAGTGAAACTCTAATTCATCACAAATATAATGAAAATGTCAGGCTGGAATGAAAACAATATATAATTGAAAACCTAGTGGAAGGGTTTGCTAACGTACAGTGATTGTTCTCATGTATGGCCTCCTGTGGCCTTTGTCACCATTGAATGGCCTCCTGTTTGACTGTCCCAGCAAGTAATTAGTGCTCTGTTGTGATGTTTAACAATAAACTGTAGATCTAGTAACAAGACAAGCTTACACAAAATATAGGATAAGATTTAATGGACATAGATGGTTCAGATATGAGCTGGGTCTATTGTGTTTGTCTTGCGTAACGACGTTCATGTGGTTTTCAAAGAGCTGCGACCCTTTAAAAGAGCCGAATGATCCTCGTTTCCCTCAAAAACTATAAAGAAGCCACAGCTGCACTTTGTGGAATCTGACCTGGGAGTTTGCTAGCAAAGGTAAATGTTTATCAGTTTTACATTCTTAAAAATGGATATATTGATAAAAGAATGTAGAACTGCTTATTTTTCTTGTTTGTAGGAGCTGAAATGGTTCTTCAACACAGGATTTCATTGTTGCTCCTCCTCTGTTCATCTCCACTTGGTAAATTATTTCTCCAGTTGTAGTAAACCTTCTCATGTTATTTAAATACTGTGTGGTTATAATTATAATTTGCATGCAGATAAACAATAGCATGATTTTTATAGATTAATACTGGTGAAAATGCAATATTTTTTAATATAATAAAAAGTGTATAATCAGTCTTAGTTTGTATGTCCCTCTGAAATGATCTAAACCTGATAGTAATGTTCTCCAGCATGACCGCCTGTAAAAGGGAATTATAGTAACATGCTCAATGTCAATTTTTTAAGTTGTGAATAAAATAAGAAAATACCATTTAATTCGTTGCGCTTCAAAATTTCACATTTAATTCAATGTGTTACTTGGCATTTCTTTGTTTGTGAATTTTACTTGCAATTTCTGAGTGAAAATAGTTTCTACACCATTTTTTTAAGAGTAGAAACAGTGCATATTCTTAAATATTTTTATTCACTTGTATCATAACTGCCCTTTTTTATCCCTAATTCTAAAACATTCCGTTTTATTTGAATGTTCAAGTAAGTGAACTCCCTCACTTACAACGTGGTCTCTTTAACTGACTTTTTCATGTAGTTTACTGACGGTTTCCTGTAGTTCAAACAGTTGATCATGGCGCTAGCAACGGCAAGGTCATGGGTTCAATTCGCAGGGAAAGCCAGAACTGATCAGTGTTGGGGAAAGTTACTTTTAAAAGTAATGCATTACAATATTGCGTTACTCCATAAAAAAAGTAACTAATTACGGTACTTAGTTACTTTTTATGGAAAGTAATGCGTTACGTTACTTTTGCGTTACTTTTTAAATCTGGACAGAGCTTGCTTGTTTGTTTTTAAAATAAAAAAGTTATATTTTTGGCAGATATAAAAGCCTTTTCACACCAAAAGTGAAATGAATAAGCCTCAGGCTGAAGGGAAAGTACATTTACGTTCGTACAGTAGAATACAGAAGAAGAAATTTCAACACACTTCAGCAATAAAAAAAGACACAAGTGTTTGTCTAGAGTCATTTTTTCTTATTAATACGGTTGAACTGGATCATCGAAGGTCAGAAGCAGAGACATTGGTTAATAGAATGGGATTAAATACATAAAGGATATTTGTGCTGTTTAACATTTAATTATTGGAGGTTTGCGTCATATTCTGAGTTGTATTATTTTTATTCATTTTGAGGAATACTGAATCTGTTTTTTTGTTTTTTTTTGTGAGTGAGATGAATTAATGCATATTCATATTTATTTTAGAACTACAGTAACATCTTCTGATTTCTCTCATCATGGGGACAGGAGAGCTACCAATCAATAAATTGGGGAAAAAAGTAACTTGCGTTACTTATTTGAAAAAGTAACTAGTACTAGTTACTTGAAAAAAGTTGCGTTACCCCCAACACTGGAACTGATGAAATGTAAATGTATACCTTGAATGCAATGTAAGTTGCTTTGGATGAAAGCATCTGCCAAGTGCATAAATATAAACATTTATCTGGTCCTATAGCATTTGTTGGTGCCAATTCCACCGAGACTCCCTGTGATCGTCGCTGTCTGGCAAATTCTCTGGTTCAGAAAGAACTGTTCAGTGCACCACAGAGTGATAACTGTACCATCATAGTGAACATCACTTCAATACAGTACGAGACATTGTCTTTCGTAAGTGCCACTTTTGTCTTGTTGATCATCTTCAGAAAAAAGTACTTGTACTTGTACTAGTACTTGTAATGCGTTACCCCCAACACTGGAACTGATGAAATGTAAATGTATACCTTGAATGCAATGTAAGTTGCTTTGGATGAAAGCATCTGCCAAGTGCATAAATATAAACATTTATCTGGTCCTATAGCATTTGTTGGTGCCAATTCCACCGAGACTCCCTGTGATCGTCGCTGTCTGGCAAATTCTCTGGTTCAGAAAGAACTGTTCAGTGCACCACAGAGTGATAACTGTACCATCATAGTGAACATCACTTCAATACAGTACGAGACATTGTCTTTCGTAAGTGCCACTTTTGTCTTGTTGATCATCTTCTATGTTAAAAAAAGCACATACTTATAACATCTGTATCTAATAATTTTGTCACTATGTTTTAGGATACAAAAGACATGAAAATGACCAGCCGTATCAAGGTAAACATGGTGAGTTGAGTTCCTGAATGAAATACAATTATCGAGTGTCACCATCTCCAATTCAATTAACTGAATACTATTATAGCGTAAACTCACACAAATCAGAGCGCTGTTGTACTGAATTTTAGAACAGCAGAAACTGTGCTGATATTCAGTATAGCAGGCATATTTTGATTGTGATATTTCTTATTTTCAGCAGTTCTATAAACAAGGATAATATCGAATAACTTGCATTTCAAACATAAGCAGCCATAATGGTTGGCTGACTGTATATTTATCCCACATAATACACAGCTACTTACAATGCAAATAAATAATTCAAAACAACACATTTAATTTAAATTATTTTGTGTTAAGAATCGGAGTGTGTAGAGATATGAGACATGATAGCACAGCTTTGTAGGAAAATCAATTATACCGTTTAGTGTCATTACACAAAAATATGTAACAGAACATGCTGTTTAGGGTTGCAAAAAGGTGGACAGTTTCCAGTAAATTTCGGAAACCTTCGAGAAATTTTGGAAACTTTCCAGGATTTTTTTTGGAACATTCCAGGGATTTTTGGAAAGTTTCCGGAAATTTACCGGAAATGTTCCACCCCTTTGCAACCCTAAATGCTGTTACATGCAGTACCAATCAGAATCAAGTATTTCAAACAACTGTTATATTGTAAAACAAAATGTGACCCTGGAGCACAAAACCAGTGTTAAGTCGCTGGGGTATATTTGTAGCAATAGCCAAAAATACATTGTATGGGTCAAAATTATAGATTTTTCTTTTATGCCAAAAATCATTAGGATATTAAGTAAAGATCATGTTCCATGAAGATATTTTGTAAATTTTCTACCATAAATATATCAAAACTTAATTTTTGATTAGTAATATGCATTGCTGAGAACTTCATTTGGACAACTTTAAAGGCGATTTTCTCAATATTTAAATTTTTTTGCACCCTCAGATTCCAGATTTTCAAACAGTTGTATCTCGGCCAAATATTGTCCGATCCTAACAAAAACCATACATCAATGGAAAGCTTATTTATTCAGCTTTCAGGTGATGTCCAAATCTCAATTTGGAAAAATTGACACTTACAACGGTCCACGGTCACAAATGAGAAGCTGTTTCTTTCACTAAAACATTCACAAAATTCAAAATATATTCTTATAATCGCCAAAAGTGCAAAGTAAATAATGCATTTCTTAGACTAATAGTATTTTCTTCCCCACAGCTGTGGAACGATCCTGATCTTGGATGGATGCAAGAGAAATATAAATATCCAACAATTCTTTTGCCAGTTGATAAAATCTGGATTCCTCGGATAGTTTTGGACAATGCGTGAGTTTCAAGACATACTGTATATATACCATGCATATACTGCTCACTATGGTGTCTGCAGAGGAACTAAACCCATCAGAAGATCACAAACCCATCACAAGGCCTAGAATAAGACATTGGGAAAAATATCAAGCAATATATATTTTTTATATAAAGGCAGATATTTTCCCCCACATAAAAAAGCCAGTTAATCTGTGACGCTGTTAAAATGTCATAATCTCTCTCTCTGTTTGCACTCAGAATAGAAACGACCATGGAGCCGTACACTAATGATGTACAGGTGCGGCGGGATGGAACTGTGGTCCATTCGGTTGTTTTGTTCACGATGGTGAGCTGTGAAATCAACCTCTTTAACTACCCCTTTGTGATGGGGTCGTGCCCTGTGGCCATCAATGGATGGAGCCAGAAAAGTAAGATTGAAATCACAAGCTGTTAAGAAGATTATGACCATTTGTTTTTAACCTGAGAAATATTCCTAATTATATTATGAAGACATTACAAATAATTTGTGCCTACTGATAGTGCCTGCTTTCCATGGTTTGCACCAAGCAAATAGAGTTTACGGTAAATACGGTCTATAATAGCCTATTTTAATTGGAAAGGAGTCGTGTTTGCACTGAAAAGAATGACAATGACTTCATTTAAATATCTCATGGCTTGATTAAGGTGGAATTACAGCAACTATTTCGTGAATTTCCCCGTGGAAGTTATATTCGATAACTTGAATATGTTCTCTTGTTTGTTTGCTCCAGCTTGCGCGCTCACTCTCCAGATCGCTGATAATGTGACTTTGGTTGGCGGCAGTCGAGGAGAGTGGCACACTAGGGGCGTGATCAAAACTGTGGATTCATCCAATCATGTTTATCTCCAAGTAATTCAGTTATCTCATTCTAAACCTCCGATCAAGAGTATTGAGCTTAGAGAGCTTGTTGCCTGTAACCCTCAAGGCATAAATGGTCCATTGTACAACCATATGCAGTTTTCAGAAATAAATACACCGTGAGCACCATATAAACAAAAACAATTACAAAAGACTGAATTCTGAGACTCCCTCTGATTCTCCTTCTCTGACTGTGTACATGAGGTCTGGAACTAGGCTGAAAAATCAGCGATTGAGTCTAGTCTAAGAAAACAGACCGTAATTTTAATATCTTGTCATATGGGTTAACTTGTGAATTGAGGACATGAAATAATGGCTTGTTAATGAATTGCTTTTGATCTTTGAACAGGTCGCTCTCTCGATTAACCCCTTCGGGGCTGTTGTAACCCTGATCCTGCCCAGTGGACTGGTACTGCTGGCTGACCTGGTGAGCTTTGCTCTGCCATTTGAAGGGGGAGAACGCAACTCTTTTAAGGTCACCTTGGTCCTTAGCTTCACCATGTTCCTCCTCATCCTCAATGAACACTTGCCTAGCAGTGGCAACTGTAGCCCCCTCCTCCGTAAGTGAAAGTACAGAAAGAGAGAGAAAAAAATTCTGCTCCATTTTAAACAAAATGCTACAGATATGCAGATTTTTACTATGCCGATGTAAAGTTATTCTAATATGATTATGTTTAATCCTAATATCAGACTTCATTATGACTTAATATTAGATCCTAAGGAAAAGTGCTCAGGCAGTTTAGAAAACATTACGCAATATATAATACATTTCCTAGTGCTTATATTTTGCAATATACTGCAATATATGCATTGACCATGTATTAAAAGAAATAAAAAGTATTTAGAAATGGAGACAAAAATAGCATTACATGTAATATTCATAAAGTTTCATTCCCATATAATAATGTGAAAATATATGATACACAGTATACGAAAAGTGTCAATTCCTTATGTAATATTAAATTAATTGTAATATATTATTCAGTATATTTTCAATATACCATTAAATATATTGATCATTCATGAGGAAATGTTTTTTCTTTGCATAAGGTTTAACACTGTATTTATGAGAAATTTGTTTAAAATGCCTACATACTTTATATTTTCTTTTTCTAACAGCATACTTTAAAAGCTAGTCTTTTAATATACATAATAACTAGTCAGAAACACTAGTATCACATCAACATGTACAATAATAAGTAGATGGCATTTTCTCTGTTTTCTCCTCTAAAGATTACCACTTCAGCTTCTGTCTGGTGTGTTTGGTCATGAGTACGCTGGCTTCCATAGTGCTAACACGTCTGTCTATAGACGACAGCTTCTTACTGTGCAGACGCTCTGCCAAACCACAACATGACAGCCTGGATCAGGAGAAAGGTGAGAGATGACTGGAAGCACAAAGGTCAATTGGCTTATTTAGTCTCTGCTTCAAGTTATGAAACAAACACAAAAAGTGTGACTGTGTATGTTTTTCAACAGCAATATGCTCTCATATATTGGCCTATAGTTAACATGTAATGCCATTTGCAATGCATTTTACTTCTGTAAAAAATGTAGGCCAGGGCTTAACCCATAATAAGCCAAACATATCCATCTACTTAAATGGGGAAATCGACACAAATGTATATTATTGACAAAATCACGTTTCAGTAAAATGCTTAAAATCATGATTAAAACCTGCAACAATGGCATCTTATATCATAAATTGCTTCTTCTGCTCAAATGACTCAAAAGGCCTTTTTTAAGCTGGTCCAGCTATTGCACATTGGGAGACTGGCTGTTAAATGGGACTTTGAAATCATACCAAAATATATTCTAATGCAAATGTTACTGTTGGCCACGAACACAACTAATATTCTTTAAAGGGTTAGTTCACCCAAAAATGAAAATTAGCCCATAAATTCTCTCAAGTCATCCTAGGTGTATATGGCTTTCTTCTTTCAGACGAATCCAGTCGGAGTTATATTAAAAATTGTCTTTGATCTTTCAAGCTGTTTAAAGCCACTCAGTGGGTGTTGCAGGCATCAGTCCAAAAGAAGTTCAATAAAAAGCGCCCATCCATAAAAAAAGTGTCTCACATGGCTCCGGGGGTAAACAAAGGCCTTCTGTAGCGAATTGATGCGTTTTTGTAAGAAAAATATCCATATTCAAAACGTAATGATCACTTTAATGTAGCTTGTGCCAACAGTTGTGCACAGACTCAGCCGGTGAGTCTCGTGAAAACCAACGTTTGTTAACAGGAGCAAAGGAAGCAAAGTTCCCTTACTTTAGCAAAGGAAAACCAGTCTCCTCTTGGCTTATATCGAAATCCTCTGACATTCTTCTTTGCAAATCCTCGTTTTGTACTTCTAATAAGTCACCGTTGTTTTGTTTTGAGCTCTCCGCTGTGCTTCCACGTTCGTCACTTCTGAGCGGCGCATGCGCAACGCCGACCTCATATGTCATCCGCCCGGAACTGTTTCTGTGTACGCAAGCTACATTAATGTGAGCGCAAGCTACATTAAAGTGATTAAGTTTTGAATATGGATATTTTTCTTACAAAAACACATCGATTTGCTACAGAAGGCCTTTGTTCACCCCCCGGAGCCGTGTGAGACACTTTTTTAATGGATGGGCACTTTTTATTTAACTTCTTTTGGACTGATGCATGCAACACCCGCTGAGTAGCATTAAACAGCTTGAAAGATAAAAGACAATTTTTAATATAACTCCGACTGGATTCGTCTGAAAGAAGAAAGTCATATACACCTAGGATGACTTGAAGGTGAGTAATTTATGGGCTAATTTTCATTTTTGGGTGTACTAACCCTTTAAGGGTTTATAGAATGGAAGTGAATTTCTGCTTAAAATAATGACTTTATTTAAAAATTGGCACTGGCTAGTGACTAATTCACAGGATTTTGCACTGAAATACTACAAGCTGTACAACTATTTAGTGAATTCAACACTCATGATTTAATTTTGTGATGGTAGTGGTGCAGAAATGACACACTTCACCTTTAATTAGATCAGCATTGCAATAACATAAATAATTTGGTCTTTGTCAACAGTTTTTCTTACAAAAACACATCGATTTGCTACAGAAGGCCTTTGTTCACCCCCCGGAGCCGTGTGAGACACTTTTTTAATGGATGGGCACTTTTTATTTAACTTCTTTTGGACTGATGCATGCAACACCCGCTGAGTAGCATTAAACAGCTTGAAAGATAAAAGACAATTTTTAATATAACTCCGACTGGATTCGTCTGAAAGAAGAAAGTCATATACACCTAGGATGACTTGAAGGTGAGTAATTTATGGGCTAATTTTCATTTTTGGGTGTACTAACCCTTTAAGGGTTTATAGAATGGAAGTGAATTTCTGCTTAAAATAATGACTTTATTTAAAAATTGGCACTGGCTAGTGACTAATTCACAGGATTTTGCACTGAAATACTACAAGCTGTACAACTATTTAGTGAATTCAACACTCATGATTTAATTTTGTGATGGTAGTGGTGCAGAAATGACACACTTCACCTTTAATTAGATCAGCATTGCAATAACATAACTAATTTGGTCTTTGTCAACAGATGCAGGTGTGATTGCAACCCAGTCTGGTAATCTGGCTTCAGAGATGGCTTCGCTCCAGAAAATAGTGAAATTTTTGCAGAACATTGATAAAGGAGAAAAGGAGGCGCGTAGTAAAGTGGCATTTGCTTACCTCCTAGACAAATTCTGCTTTGGCTTTTTTATAATCATCTACATAATTTATGCCATAATTCTTATTAGTATCACCCGAGCAGACATTTGTAAGGTTAATAATCTAGACTTCTGGGATGATTCCCACCATAAAGATGACAACTTTGACTACTCATACACATAAGCATAGTCACTTTCGCTTCATAGTTTCAATAGGACCTCTCAGATCAGGTATTTTTTTCTGTTTGGTGTATATAATCTGTCTCAAACTGTACAATGTAATGACTGACTAAAGTACAGTTCACATACATGTATTCATATTTATTAGAATATCAACAAAACCTTGGGAATGAATACAAGGCAAAATACAAAATAGCATAACTTGTCATTCTTACTGTCTAATAAAATGTGCAAATTTTCTGCATGCCATTGAAATTGACATGCTATTTTAATTGTATTATATTCCCATTATTACAGAACCATACAAGCATTAATTATAACAAAATCAAATGTTATTTTGATGACACGTCTTCAAACTATTATTAATGTTTTTAATCAAAACTGAACATTTTTGTCATTCTTAATATATGTTGTGGATGATTTATCACTGCATATTATTGTAAATAAATTACAGAAGCAAAATAAGACTGTAACTAATCATTGTCTTTAAATGTATATACATTTTACATATTAAATGTATATAGGGGAGAGTGGGACACAACCACTTTTTGACTTTCTCAGTTTGTGTAAATCCACATTGGGTTCAGATAATATTTTTTTCCACATTAATTTCACAGTCTAGTACAAATATGTGGTTTTGTTTCATAATTGCAGTGCATATTTGTTTTTTTCTTTATTTACCCCAAAAGAATGGAAGTGAAATGAAACTTGCCCCATAGGTGAGGCACATTGTAACATCTGAGGGGCACGCTGTAGCATTGTAGCTTAAAATGTCATATGTTCTAATGAAAAAAATATGTACAAGACAAACTAAAATAATGTCAATAAAACAAAAATATTATCTTAAAAAAATTAAATTATAGCATTTTTTTAAGAATTAAAAATAAAATTAAGCATTTGCGTTAGTCCTGGCAGGTCACGTGTGTCAAGCTTGCATCAGCTGATTCTCAGCTGATCACGTCTACCTATAGGAATACGACACCTATTGCAGCATTCCTATATAAGCTCTATTCAGTATTATTCAGCAGCTTTTCAGCTTGCTCCGGAGCAAATTAAGCATCGCTGCTCACAAATCAACTGTTGCAGCGTGTTTCAGAACATCTGAAATCCACATCTAAGATAAGTGAATGCTGTTTTAATCCATATCGCTGTGTATATTAGGCTACCTGGTCTGCTAATTGAAAAAAGCATATTTGCAGCAGCATTTACGCATCTGTGTTCATACAGCTGGAGCAACACGTAGTCTAGAGCATGTAACTTAATCGCTCTGAGGACACACCGATAGTTAAGGCCATGAGAACAAGTTTAAATGAAACAAGCATTCTCGTGTATGCGTTTCAACTGGGGTTCGCTGTATTCAGCGGCATAATCTCAATGTTACGGTTGTTTATTTCTAAGGTTGATGTTTCATTAGCTGTGTGAGTGTGCGGTTCAGATAATATTTTTTTCCACATTAATTTCACAGTCTAGTACAAATATGTGGTTTTGTTTCATAATTGCAGTGCATATTTTTTTTTTCTTTATTTACCCCAAAAGAATGGAAGTGAAATGTGACAACTTGCCCCATAGGTGAGGCACATTGTAACATCTGAGGGGCACGCTGTAGCGTTGTAGCTTAAAATGTCATATGTTCTAATGAAAAAAATATGTACAAGACAAACTAAAATAATGTCAATAAAACAAAAATATTATCTTAAAAAAATTCAATAATAGCATTTTTTTAAGAATGAAAAATAAAATTAAGCATTTGCGTTAGTCCTGGCAGGTCACGTGAGTCAAGCTTGATTCTCAGCTGATCACGTCTACCTATAGGAATACGACACCTATCGCGGCATTCCTATATAAGCTGTATTCAGTATTATTCAGCAGCTTTTCAGCTTGCTTCGGAGCAAATTAACCATCGCTGCTCTTTTGACGATAGTGGTCCTGACAGAAATTAAGCGTTAGTTTTAGTTCTGGCAGGTCACGTGAGTCAAGCTTGCATCAGCTGATTCTCAGCTGATCACATCTACCTATAGGAATACGACACCTATTGTGGCATTCCTATATAAGCTCTATTCAGTATTATTCAGCAGCTTTTCAGTTTGCTCCGGAGCAAAAATTACCCTCCTCCATCCCCAGCTCCACCTTTCGCCACAGTCA